TTTTGTAACCACTCCCATATCCCACCTGATCTTGCCAGGACAAGAGAAGAACACTTGAGTTTGAAAACCCTAATACTTGAGTCTCTAATCTTCAGAAATAAACTTGTCACCCTTTTCCATCAATTTATTGAAAATCTTTCATTTACCCAATACACTAGAATGTGAGAAAAATAGTCACCTACAAGAAAGCCTTTGACTTTCAGCACAGCATCTATTCAGAAGAATGGCTCTAACTAGACAGACATTCCTTGAGCTGTATAGACTTTGGGTCTGGTTAATTTTAGTATGTGATGTTTTGATTTATCTGCAAGGTTTTTGTTTTCAATTCTGGTTTGGGTTTTTTATTTGTTTGTTTGGTTTGCTTGATTGGGACAGGGTTTCTCTGTGTAGCCTTGTCTATCCTGGAACTCAGTTTGTAGACTAGACTAATGTTGAACTCAGAGATCCACCAGCCTCAGCCTCATGAGTGCCAGGATGAAAGGCATGCACCGCCATCCTTGGCACATTTACAAAGATTTTAAATAATAACCTTTATTTAAAATTTTTAAACTTGGGTATATCACAGATTATTTTGTATATTTTTAAGTTATTATTATTTATGTGCTGTGCGTTTTGCCTCCATGTATGTATGTACACCACATGGATGTAGTGCCCATGGAGATCAGAAGAAACCTGGGGCCTGGAGTTACTTTACAACATGTAATGTCATTGCTGGGAATTAAATCTGGGTTCTTCTGAGAAGCAGGTGATATTCTCAACCACTGAATTAAATCTCCAGCCCCATGAATTATTTCAAGTGATCATGAGGATAAGCAAAGTGTGTTGTTATCCCAATTATCTTAATATTAAGCATATTTTTAATTCTGATAAGTTTTGAAAACTATATTGTCAATGAATGCATGTGTTTTACTTGGTAAAGTGCTATATACATTCTACACAAATAAATCCAAGTATGCATCTTAATATTCTGCTCTGTTATTGCTTTACAGATAAACAAAGTCTGTTAAAATACTGACTAACCCAGAATGCGAATGAAAATGCACAGGTCTGCTGTTAGAAAACAGATACAGAGAAAGAAATGTAGTGTTGGATCTAAATTCACTTGAATCCTAACTTTTTTTTAATATAATTTATTTGTTTTTTTCAAGTTGTAATTTATACTCATTCACACAGGGGTTATAAACACAGAAAGGCAGGATGTGGGGAAGGGGATGACACTGGAGTGTGGGTGTTCAGGGGGAATACAGATATCTTTCAGAACAGGGTATCGGCTGGGTAAGGGTTCAGGGGACAGGTCAGTATGGCTCTATTATTCGCTTGTCCTTATCTAAGTTGGTATTATCTGCCAAGGCTACCTATTTACAAAGTCTATGATTACTCAGGCTGTAAATTGTCATTAAAACTACCTGTTTACAATAGCTTATAGCCATCTGTTTCAGTGTTTATCCACAGAGACCCAAGACTTAGTGTTAGTATGACAGGCCTATTGCTGATTTTAGGCCTTCAGTGTATAAGCAGGGCTGCCCATGACATCTCCTCTCTTCTCTAAGTATAGACGAGCTGTGGCAAATCTAATCTTTCGAAGGCAGGGATATACCAAAACCTATGGGATACAATGAAAGCAGTGCTAAGAAGAAAATTCATAGCTCTAAGTGCATACAAAAAGAAACTGGAGGGAGCTTACACTAGCAGCTTGACAATGCACCTGAAAGCCCTAGAACAAAAAGAAGCTAATTCACCCAAGAGGAGTAGAAGACAGGAAATAATCAAACTGAGGGCTGAAATCAACCAAATAGAAACAAAAAGAACTATACAAAGAATTAATAAAACCAGGAGCTGGTTCTTTGAGAAAATCAACAAGATAGACAAACCCTTAGCCAGACTAATCAGAGGACAGAGAGACAGTATACAAATCAATAAAATCAGAACTGAAAAGGGTGACATAACAACAGAAACCAAGGAAATTCAAAAAATCATCAGATCTTACTACAAAAGCCTATACTCAACAAATTGGAAAACCTGGATGAAATGGACAATTTTCTAGACAAATACCAGTTACCAATGTTAAATCAGGAGCAGATAAACCACCTAAACAGTCCCATAACCCCAAAAGAAATAGAAGCAGTCATTAAAAGTCTCCCCACAAAAAAAAGTCTGGGACCAGACGGTTTTAGTGCAGAATTGAATTCTAACTTAAACAACTTAAAGCAGCAGGTCATTACAAAAGTCTTTAAAGCTGTCTTAGTTAGTTAGGGTTTCTGTTGCTATGACAAAAGACCATGACCAAAAGCAACTTGGGATGGAAAGGGTTTACTTCAGTTTTCCACTCTCAGGGCACAATACCTCTGTAAAGGACTGCAGGGTGGGAAAGCCAGACAGGAACCTGTAGGCAGAAACTGAAGCTAAAGCCAAGGGTGAATGCTTTTCACTGGCTTGATCCCAATGGCTTGCTCAGACTGCTGCCTTATACAACCCAGAACCATACCTCCCATGGCCTGAGCCCTCACTTCCATGGCATGAGCCCTCCCTAGGTCCTGCCTGACCAATCATTAGTGAAGGAAATGCAGCACAGGCTTGCCTACACGCCAGTCTTAGGGAAGTAGTTTCTCAGTTGTGGTTCCCTTTTCTCAGATAACTCCAACTGGTATCAAAGTGATACAACCAACCAGTACAGGAGCACATCGTCCAGTTCCAGGATATCCCATGCCTTCTTCTGGCTTCTGTGTGTACTACATGCACATGGTATATATACAGCAAAGCAACACTCCTTACACATAAAAATGAATAAAAATTGAAAGATAAACAGCTAAGAAAAAGGTACAGCACATATTTGAAGGGCTAAGTGTTACTGTTCCTGAACTCTAGAGGCTGGTAGCAATTAAGACAGATAGGTAAAAGGATGCCAATGTAATTCACCAAGGAGGAAGTACTCAAATGTCCCAACTACCTACTTGTAACAGCTAGTGAACACAGAAGCATCCACACAAAATGTATCATCACCAAAGCTCACAAAACTTTACAAGTTGGACCACATGCAGAGAACCAGGGGGCAGGGGAAGCTCTCACACAGTGACCAAGTGGTGAGCTGTTCAAAGTTTGGAAAGCAATTAGCCAGATGCACTAAAATGTGCTGTGTGCACACCTAGACCCAGCCACTCTGCCTCCGAGGCTCTGTGCTGCTGAGAAAACAGCAGAGTTAGGAAAGGCTCTGTGTTTAAGAAAAGTCTTTAGAGCCAGGGATGGTGGTATCTACCTTTAGTCTCTGCACTGTCAAGGCAGAGGCAGGAGGATGTCCTAACTTGAAAGAAAGAAAAGAGAAGAAAAGAAGGAAGGAAGGAAGGAAGGAAGGAAGGAAGGAAGGAAGGAAGGAAGGAAGGAAGGAAGGAAGGAAGGAAGGACAAACATTGGGAGGGAGGGGAGGGAGAGAGGGAGGGAGAGAGGAAGGGAGAGAGAGAGAGGGAAGGGAAAAAGGAAACCAACAAACAAAGGGAAAAGAAAAGAAGAAAGAGAGAAAAACAGACAGACAAGACTAAGGATAATGATTGGTACAGTATGGGATATTAAATATGTATCCATATGTGTATTAGAAACACAAAGGCAAATTTAAAACTACACACTTGTCCTGAGACTGCATAGGAAGAGTTGGAGAGGGTAGAGTAGGGGTAGACTCACTGAGAATCCATTCCATACATGTATAAGATTCACAAGGAAAAAGATCAAAAACTACCTTTAAAGACCACAATAAATTTACTTTGGTGAAGACTATCAATTGTTGGAATGTGAAAGGGACAGAGACAACACTGTTGTCCAGGCTGACACTGCATCTTGTTTTAAGGACACAGTTCTGGATGTTTACAACACAGACTATTTGTGAACTACCTCCCTGAACCTGGGACGCACACAAAACTCCAGAGGGTGCTTCTTAAAAAGAGGTAGATAGAGTTGAGGAACGAGTAAACCGAAGCTTCATTTTGTACTGTGTTTCTCAGTCTACTTAAAAAAGCAATAATGAATACAGCCTGGTGATTATGAGAATGTCAGTGGTTCACACACAAATCAACGAGCAAGGTGAAAAATCGCACTATGGCAATTCTGTTGGACCCAAAACAACAAAACTCGAAAACAACAAATGCAAATGACAGAGCACTGCTCAGTGAGGAGCGGCTTCATAGTTCAACACTGTCTTCACCTGCTTAAGGAAAGATGATGTACCTTGGAAAGTGGCTTTCCCTGGAGGCAGTTGATCCCGCCAATGTAGACCATATTGGGCATCACAGGTCTGGGGAATTCCAGTACAAAGTCAGTGCGAAACATCCAAATGGACACTGGGCTGAAGAGGTCTCTCATTGTCACTGGGGTCTGCAGAATTTCAGAGGCAATTTCTACAGCACCTTTGAAAAAATAGGGGCAAAATGCACGCTCCTTCATGTAGGAGAGATGGTTCCACAATCTCTCCTTGAAAGTCATGGTATCTGTGAATTTCGAGAGAATTCTGGGAACATAGGAAGGAGGACTGGGGCACTGGGCACCCTCATCAAGGTAGTGACAAAATATTCCTCCGCTGAAGACCACAGATGGGAGAGAAAAGTACTTGGCAACAGTTAATCCGCACACATCGAAAGGATCCAGAAACACAGCATCAAATGAAGTCTGCTTCAAATACTCCACTAACTTCTTGTCATGAAACAAACTCCTACAGTGAGAAAACAGTAATTCGAAGAAACCTTTGCCTGAATGCTTAAGTAGAGAAAACATTCCTATTTCTTGAGTTTTCCATTGGTTGTGAGCAAAAGACTTGAAGTGGTGGTTTAAATCTTCCAGAGTGTAAGGTACAGAGTAAGTTTTCACTGTGAAATTCAGTGATTTTCCCAGGTGCCAACTCACCTCTGGGATGACCACCACCACCTCGTGCCCTCTGTGGCTCAGTTTCTCCACAATCATCTGCATGGTGAACCAGTGGCTCCCATCCATGGGCACCACCAGCAGCCTGCCTGCCTGGACCAAGCCAGAGGCCAGCACCAGGCACACACAGAGAGGAAGGGAGGCTGGAAAAACTGCAGGAGCCATGGGAGAAGTGCAACCCAAGAGAATACACAGGCTGGGACTGTGTGCTCTTCTAATTTGAGAAAAGAAAAGCTTGTAGAAGCTAGAACACCTCCCCCATTGGAGAGCATTCGTTCACTATTCATTAAGAAAGTACACTCCCTGACAATGACAGATTTTTGAGAGCAATAACAATCGAGCCATTATTGAGATGCCTACTTGTTTGTTTTTCAGATAAGAAGGGCCTATGACACTTTTCTTAGGCAGAATCACTTAACATGAGTTTAGAAATAGTTATGAAGAAATACACTTGAATCTATGTCCAAACGTTTTCCCAAGAGGAAGAAAGAAAGTGTCAAAGAATCTCACATTTCTAGAATTGATCTCAAAGTAAAATCTGGATGCTTTCTTTAGGCCACTACACTATGTCCCAAAGGGATTTCTTGCCTCTGCTTCCAAGGCCTAAGTGGAAGGTCTTTGGCATGGCCCTTTTGACAGAGAAAGAACTCTGTCAGATGAGCAAAGTGCTGGTCTCGACACTGCAGAAGGATTCTTGTTCCACATCTAAACTCCTGGAGAGATGGGATATGCTAAAGTATGATAGGCAACTATAGTATGGGCCTCTCCAGGGACCTGGTGGCATGTGACTGCCATCTCTCTTACTTTTCCCTTTCGTAGGTCCAATGCAATGAACAGTCACATATTCTAGAGAGAGGCTGAGACCTCTGCTGTGGGTTTCCATAAGAGATCTATGTAATTTTGTCCCACAGTCCCTTAAGCACTCCTTGAAGTCAGGGCATATGATTTTCTTGTGTATTCATCCTGTTTGCGCAGTATCCAGCTATGGCTTATCTGGAGAAGAACAACAAGAGTTTGTCTTTAGACTCAACTGCATCTTGCAAATTTTGTATATGGTTTCATGGGCAGTGCAGGAGAAGGTAAGGTGGGAGGAGTTAGAAGAGGAAGAGGAGGAGTAAGGAGGAGAGGAGGAAAAGGAAGAGGAGGAGCTAGGAGACAGGAGAGGAGAATAAGAGAGAGAGTAGATGGAGGCAGATGTTCACATCTGTAGCAGTCAAAGGTAGTTGGTACATCTAGGTTAGGTATTGGGTTACACTTCTGATTATACGGGTATCTTGTTACTGATCATTATCAAATACATAAGCCTTTGATTTATCTTTAAGCATTAGAGTCTCATCTTTCTACTGAGCCCTCATGGATGGCAGGATGGCCTGGGCTATGCCCAGCTTTGCTGAGACAGCGTGGGAGATTGAGCTGTCACCCAAGCTGACATCTCATGGGTGGCAGGGCTGGTGTTTCTGGCAGGGCCATTTCTATCTGCAGCATGCACATGGCCTCCGTCTGAGAAACATGGCGGCTGAGCTAGGCAGAGCTGCTGCAGCTTAGATAGTCAGCTTGATAAGAGGTTGTTTTAAATAGTTACCACAACAAGTAGTTTAGTGACATATATCAGGTAATAAGGCACATTTAGCAAGGAATTTTATAGTCATCCTGGAGGGGGTGGGGAACGGTGATCCTTGTTAGTGCCAAAACATTGTCCCTTGTAACCTTAAATGTCACTGTTAATAGATATATACTTAGTCATCTATTTACCATGGTGACTGGGGAACAGTCAGGTGTTCATTTTTGAAGACTTAAAAACATCTAGGATGCCATGCCTTTAATTCCAGTACTAGGGAGACAGAGGCAGGTAGATCTTGTGATTTCAAGGCTTTCCTGGTCGGCATAGAAAGTTCTAGAAAAGCTGGAGCTATATAATAGACCCTGCCTGAAAATAAAAGTAACCAAACAAAGAATGGCTAATGTGACATCTACATGTTTGTGGTACAGGAAGACTTGGGCTCCAATCCTCCCCGCTAAAAAAAATAAACTAACAACTCCCCAAGATCTCATTTTGAAACCTTAACAATTGAAAACAAGACCAGGAAGCGTCAATGGTTCACAGAACTTAATGAAATTCAAGTAAAGTAAAAAAGAAAGAACAATTGTCTTCCTCAGATCACACCACCCAGCTCTTATCTCCAAATCAGTGCAATGAAGATAAGGAGATCATTTACCTTAAACATCAACCTTCTGGCAGAGGTGAGCTAGTGCTCACAATACAAAGTCCTTAGTGTTCCCTGGAGTTCCTAGAGCCACTATAAAGATATCTCTGGTGGCTGAGAAGTTACTAGGAGAAAGGACATAGTCATGCCACATGGAATCAAAGAAAGGAAGCAAAGGCATACTTCCACGGCACATTTGTAACACTTACAAGCTATGGAACCTGTCCAGAGATAACTACTAAATCCTAGATCATCTACAAAACCAGCCTGGTCGGTCTTCATAGGCATAGGAAGACATTCAAGTTAGCATCACTTTTTATACTTCTGCATTTCTAACACATCCCAGAGTGCAGTCTGACCTCACTAAATAAACAAAGAGCTACATTCCTGCCCACTTTAGAAGAGTGTAGGGGCTGGCTGTGATGGTTCGTGCTGGTCATCACCTCGATCAGATCTTGAGCCACCTAAGAACTAAGCTGCTGGCCAGACCTGTAAGAGCTTTTCTCCATCAAGTTATTTGGAATGGGAAGAAAGACCCATGTTGAATGTAATGGCGCCTTCTAGTGGCAGTCCAGGAAAAAGGAGTTCCCAGGGGGACAATTGCTTTTGACCTCATTGCCTACAAGTCCCACTGGACAGTTTATCTATCCTGTTGCTGGCACTTCTACTGCATTTCTTGTATATATAAAAAGATCTATAAAAAGATATGTTTTGGTGAACATTTAGTGAGGTGTGGGGAGGGGGTGCCTACAAGGGCCCATACTGAGGCATCCCTTCTTCCTGATGGACTAGCCACACGACTGTATAGTATACAATAGCATTTCTTTATGGAATGGGGAGAGGAGTTGAGAAGGTAGTAGAGACAGGGAAAGGCAGAGAGAGAGAACAGAGGAGTAGAGAAGTACAGGCCAGCCATGAGCTCATGGGGGGTGGGGGAAGAGGGACAGGAGAGGGGGAAGGGGAGAGCTGGAGCAAGAAGACAAGAGCAAGAGAGAGAAGAAGGGCAAGCAGCTCCTTTTATAATGAGTCAGGCACACCTGGATGTTGCCAGGTAACTGTGGGATGGAGCTTAGACAAAATGCTAACAACATTCCTTTCCTGATATCAGAACTAGGCTTCACTGAGCTTCCAACATTGACTGATGACCAGTGGCTCTCCAGGAATTATCTAGGACTTCAATGCCACCTTAAGACTTGTTAGGTATTCAGTGTCATGGATTAAGCAGTAACCAAGCTCTGAGGCTCTCCAGCGTAAAGACAGCCATTATTAGACTATCTGGACTGGACTGGACTAGACTGGACTGGACTGTATAATCCAATGTAACAACCCCCCTTTTAACATATACCCATCCCATCAGTTTTGTTCTATACAAAACCCCTACTAATAAGGTATAAAAGCATTGTAAGGCAGAAGTTTCATTCAGCTAGACCCCTGATTAATGATCCTGACCAGACAGGAAATCAGCCCAATCCTATGGATCTCAGAGACCAAAGCCCATATTTGTGTTTGATCGGGGAGGTTGATCAGCAGACCCCTTCAGTCAAAAAGACCTACCAACTGGCCCTGCACAGGCAGAGAGACTTCCACCACTGTGCATCAGCAAAGCCTGCCAGTAGCTCTACCCAGCATGAGCACAGAAGCAGTGTGCATCTTAGTCAACTAGGAAGCTGACAAAAGCCCTTTTACTCAAAGATACAGGTTAGAATAAATGACGGTAGGTCTCACCATAGAGAATGGGTCAAGAATTCAAAGCAGAAGTTTGACTTTCAACACAAAGACATTAATAGAGAATCAAGGACCTGTGACATACATGAAAGAAACTAAGAGGGGGCACCAAAGAAGCTGAGATCCATGAAATGACTAAGAAAGAATTCAGAACAAGAGTCATAAAAATGATCAACAGACTAGCAGAACATAGGGAGTAAAATTTAATGACAGTAGGAAAAAAAGGGAGGGGTGTTGAAAAACAGACAGTAAAAAGTCATATGATGAATACAAAAACCAAACTGACAAAAACAAAGTTTCCAGAGCAGATTTGACCACCCAGGAAGATCAGCAAACAGGGCAGAGCAACTGAAACTGTCTAGACACAGAGGAAAAGGTATAAGGTAACTCTACAGGAATGGCAGGACACGCCAAAGAGGTCAAACTGGCATAGGACAAAAGTTGCAGAAAGAGGGAGGAAAGGAAACAATGATTGCCAGCAGATTTTCAGGTACCTGAACTGCATACACCAAGACACACTCTGAGCTACCAAAGACCAAAGACAGTGAACAATTCTGAGAACAAAAGAGGTAATAGAGTAGTTTGAATAAGAATAGTGCCCTTCAGTTCATTATATCACTGAGGGTGCCTTTGAGTATCTATCTATCTATCTATCTATCTATCTATCTATCTATCTATCTATCTATC